TTGGACTCTCATCAGTCGTTGAAGGCGATTTGTGGTGCTGGTAGACTGGACGATGGGTGAGGACAAAGAACAAAGTGTGTGTGTGTTTGTGTGTGGGTGTGTGTGTGTGTGTGTGTGTGAACGTGCGTGAACATGTGCAGTGGTGTAGTTGGGAGGGGTGGGATTTGGAGGTGGGGGTGGACAAGTGAGTGTCGTTGATGGCACTGCGTCCCTCAGAGCATCCATCTGTGAAACAGAGTGGGAGGAGAACTAGAATGAGTCAGTGGGTGAGCACCCCCCCCTCCCCCACCCCACCCTTCCAACCTTAACCCCCAAAGCTGTTTTGGCTAAAGTTGGTGCATGAATTCAAGAAAACAGAGGGTGTTCAGTTCAGACCACACAAGAACAGTTTTGGTGTTAAAATCTTTAAACTGAAGAAAAAGCAGATTCTCAGCATTGCTTCCTAATTTTGGGTTTATTTTCTTTGGTACACGCAATCAGAATCAGCTTGAAGACACTTTTGGGCAAATAAAGAATTAAATATTCAGTGTCTGCTTCTCTGGTGGCATGAATTTTACATAATGTTTTAGGTATTTCATAATGAATGCCTTGTGAATGCCTTATTGTAGACAAGTGGCAAAGGTGAGATACAGAAAACAGGTTTTGCACTCTCGCATATCAGTGACCAAAAATTGTCCATCTGAAGGTTGAGGTACATTTTCTCCATTGCTCCCATGATTCATTTCAGCTGCTGGTATGCTTTTAGCAGTGATAACGATTAACATCTTTTGTCATTATTAATTACTCTAATTCAGAGCACTCGCCTCATCTTACCACAACTTGAATTGGGCTTCAATTGCTCTTGAATACAATTTCATTTAATTAACAACTCTACTAGTGCATCATTAAATTTGTTATTAATGTGCTGAATAAATCCTTTGACATGAAATACTTCCCATTTCCATTCAGAAACATTCAGAGGTAATCTGCCAGTCAGAGCAGGGCTCAAATTAACTCTGATCCCCTGGTTAAGACTTGGACAAAAAAAAAAAAAGAGGTAAAAACAACAGTTTGGGGGATTGAAACCTTTAAATAGCCTTCTCACTCGTAATTGTAAATATTACAATATATTTTCTATTCATGCCTGGAAGAATCTTGTAATAAAAAGTGGACAATAGCATTTCTTAACCTTGACGTTAGCAGAACATCTCGTCTGCCTGCCTCACTCCCATTAGTGGCTCAGTGGGACTGAAATACTTCAGTTCACTGAAGCATGCAGGGTTCCCTTTTGCCCCAAAGAGAAGTCGACCCCCTGATAGTCATTGTATAATAAAGCAACAAGTACTCTTCCTGTGAAATGAAAATATATATGTAATGTTTCATAAATTAATGTATCAGCTGAACACAAGCTCCAGCAAGAAATGCTTTTTAAAAAATCACAACAAAATAAACTGTGCATGCATAATATCTTGTATGTGGCCATTTATAGTTTTTTAATCTCATATTGAGTCTTAAAATTTTATTTTAATATAGTTAAGTTCATTTGTGCTCTCTAAGTGCTTGGGTAAGACACCTGGGATAATCCTAGAAATCCCCTGCATCATCCAGATGTATTAACACCTCCTCTTTAGGTGTGCAGTTTCATTTCATCTTTTCACAAATGGGCTTCATATCATGTTCCCTCCTGATTCACTAATATTATAGAAAAGATTAAGTGCTAGCCTGCGGTAGCAAGTACCCATTGCAGTTTGGCAGAGTTTCTACTTTGCCATGCCATCCCAGTTTTTTCGGAGGTGCAGTAAGCCTTGAAATGTTCTCAAACAGCAGGAGCCCGTATTACTGTTACTCGCAAGGCTCACTGTTTAAGCACACAGACCGTGTTCCCGAGGGCGTGAAAATGTAAATAGTATGAGTGATTATCTTGACAACTCTGTCTCGTTCTTGTGTAACAGTATATATATCTAAATTCAGTAAAGTTTACAAGCAAACAAACCGATGCAACAGGAAAAATGGCAGAGATTGCATGATTCCACCCACACACCACTGCTTGCTGGTGAAGGTTAATATTTTATCCTCCAGTTTGCTGATTCAATAAGAATCATTCTCAACACAAATGCTGATTTTTTTTTGTCCGAGGACAGTTTTCCAGCTCTTTAAATTGCCCATCAGTCATATTGTATTCATGCTTGTTATGCTTCTTTTTTTTTTAGCTGCCACCCTTTAGATTCACCCACAATACTTGGTGTCAGGTTGGCAAGGACATTTTTTTTCAGGTTGTGGACAAGCAAAGGCCAAGAAGATAGTGCAGAATTTCTATTTTTGCCATCTCTGTGTCTCTATGGTCAAACATTTGTGAAATTAATCTATACCTTAGTGACAAGTTGTGTGAGAAAAAAACAACACTTACTGGAGCAGAGATTTGGTACCTGTGGCGTGGCATCAGTCTGGACCAAAACAGGAGCATTTCAAAGTGGGATGAAAATCTCTCCCTCGCGAATTTCCCAACAGTGAGTTTGACTATCGGACACTATAGTGCATTCCATAGTAAGAGACATTACAGAGAGCACTTGCTTTGATAGGGGAGGGTGGATAAGGTAAAAGGGGCAGTGTGGGCTGAGAGTCTCTAAATGAGGAGACAAGCAGCCGAGTAAAGTCCTCCTGTTGTAAGGATATACTGTCTGCAGTTTGAAGGTGAAACGATCCTGCTGGCCACGGCGTCGAGTCTGTAGAAGTTCAGTCCATTAGAGTATCTGTCACACAGACAAAAGGAGTCCTGTCCGCTCTACTATGATACATGTCAACATGTTTGGTTGGACTCTCATCAGTCGTTGAAGGCGATTTGTGGTGCTGGTAGACTGGACGATGGGTGAGGACAAAGAACAAAGTGTGTGTGTGTTTGTGTGTGGGTGTGTGTGTGTGTGTGTGTGAACGTGCGTGAACATGTGCAGTGGTGTAGTTGGGAGGGGTGGGATTTGGAGGTGGGGGTGGACAAGTGAGTGTCGTTGATGGCACTGCGTCCCTCAGAGCATCCATCTGTGAAACAGAGTGGGAGGAGAACTAGAATGAGTCAGTGGGTGAGCAACCCCCCCTCCCCCACCCCACCCCACCCCCCTCCCCACCCCACCCCCACCCTTCCAACCTTAACCCCCAAAGCTGTTTTGGCTAAAGTTGGTGCATGAATTCAAGAAAACAGAGGGTGTTCAGTTCAGACCACACAAGAACAGTTTTGGGTGTTAAAATCTTTAAACTGAAGAAAAAGCAGATTCTCAGCATTGCTTCCTAATTTTGGGTTATTTTCTTTTGGTACACGCAATCAGAATCAGCTTGAAGACACTTTTGGGCAAATAAAGAATTAAATATTCAGTGTCTGCTTCTCTGGTGGCATGAATTTTACATAATGTTTTAGGTATTTCATAATGAATGCCTTGTGAATGCCTTATTGTAGACAAGTGGCAAAGGTGAGATACAGAAAACAGGTTTTTGCACTCTCGCATATCAGTGACCAAAAATTGTCCATCTGAAAGGTTGAGGTACATTTTCTCCATTGCTCCCATGATTCATTTCAGCTGCTGGTATGCTTTTAACAGTGATAACGATTAACATCTTTTGTCCTTATTAATTACTCTAATTCAGAGCACTCGCCTCATCTTACCACAACTTGAATTGGGCTTCAATTGCTCTTGAATACAATTTCATTTAATTAACAACTCTACTAGTGCATCATTAAATTTGTTATTAATGTGCTGAATAAATCCTTTGACATGAAATACTTCCCATTTCCATTCAGAAACATTCAGAGGTAATCTGCCAGTCAGAGCAGGGCTCAAATTAACTCTGATCCCCTGGTTAAGACTTGGACAAAAAAAAAAAAAGAGGTAAAAACAACAGTTTGGGGGATTGAAACCTTTAAATAGCCTTCTCACTCGTAATTGTAAATATTACAATATATTTTCTATTCATGCCTGGAAGAATCTTGTAATAAAAAGTGGACAATAGCATTTCTTAACCTTGACGTTAGCAGAACATCTCGTCTGCCTGCCTCACTCCCATTAGTGGCTCAGTGGGACTGAAATACTTCAGTTCACTGAAGCATGCAGGGTTCCCTTTTGCCCCAAAGAGAAGTCGACCCCCTGATAGTCATTGTATAATAAAGCAACAAGTACTCTTCCTGTGAAATGAAAATATATATGTAATGTTTCATAAATTAATGTATCAGCTGAACACAAGCTCCAGCAAGAAATGCTTTTTAAAAAATCACAACAAAATAAACTGTGCATGCATAATATCTTGTATGTGGCCATTTATAGTTTTTTAATCTCATATTGAGTCTTAAAATTTTATTTTAATATAGTTAAGTTCATTTGTGCTCTCTAAGTGCTTGGGTAAGACACCTGGGATAATCCTAGAAATCCCCTGCATCATCCAGATGTATTAACACCTCCTCTTTAGGTGTGCAGTTTCATTTCATCTTTTCACAAATGGGCTTCATATCATGTTCCCTCCTGATTCACTAACCCTGTAAGAGGCTTTTCAGAGTCAGTCCCTGTGAGTGCCCCCCCCAGGTGACATTCAAATACATCACCTGCACATCTGTCACAGTGGAGTTGAAGCTTAGGAACATGCACTCTGACAGAATTTTTGGATAATAATTCAGCTGACAAAACTGTGTGCACTGTGTCTGCCCTTGAATCAAGCATCTTAATGTGAAATTCTCTATTTAATTCTATTTAAAATAATCATGATACACTGGACCAAATAAAATAATCCTGTTGCCAGAATTTTCCACATTTTAAGATGATAAGTATGAATAGTAATAGTAAAGAACAATTTGGTAAAGGAGATCATTTTAAATAGTTCAAAGATGCACAATGGGGAGAGGGAGAAATTTGAAACATCAGAAGTGATTATTTGAAGGGTACCCTGCTGTGAACTTCAAAATGTCACTGAATAAATCTGTGTGACTTTATACAAAGTGTGCACAACTGGGTGAAAGTGTGGGAGCACACTGATGTGAACCCACCTCATTTGTTTTGATTGCGGATTCGCAGACACCTCCTCTTCAGCGGCGGCTCCAGCTCAGGGCTGCCGGCTGCTGATAGAGGGGCGCTGATGGAACAGGACAGGATGGCCGTCTTGTCAGCACCGGGCTTTGGCACAGGCTGGATGACCACGCAGCCTCCGGTAGACAGCAGTGGCAGGGCATAGGCATGCTCGCCCTCATCCAAGCTGGATTCAGGGTCTGGTTTACCCTCTACTGTGTTTACCATCTCGTCTTGTGCTGAGTCCCGCTTCCCCGGCTCCCAATCTCCAACTGAGCAATTGTTCTCTTTCAGTGCCTCACGCTCCAGCTCTCCGTTGGCTGGCTGCTCCTCTGACTCACCTTCTCCTGCAATCCCGTCCCCTTTTCGGTCAGGGAAAGACTCAAAGGCAGGAGTGAGAAGCGAATGCCATCCTGTTCCGTTGACTATGACATTACATGGGGCGCCAGGGCTAGCTTGGAGTTGGGGCAGGGGTTGGGGCTGGGTCCGTGCTGAGCCTGATAAGGGTGGTGGGGTCAGGTTGGAGATAGAGGGGTTTAGCTGGCTGACTGGAGGATCAGCATTGCAAGAAGGGCTGTTATTGCCGGAGGGTGGGCCTGATGATTCCAGTGTGTTTGAGTGTGTGCCCCCTTCCAGCTGCGAAGCACTGAGGAGGCCCTGTGAGAGGACTCCCCCCCCACCATTGTGACAGCCCTTCCCTTCCCTCCCCAGCCCAGCGACTGGTGGAGATCTTGATTCAGCCTCTGCCTCTACTTTGACCTGGACCCCAGGTAGCATCCTCTGAATTACCTGCTGTTGGCACAACCTCTGGCCCACTGTTAGATCAATCACACCGTCCATTAGTCTGGGGCTGCTGGTTAGACACAGGTTGCCTGAATTTTCCTCTGCCTTCACAGTCAGGTCCACCATTGCCGTCCTGCTTCTTTCTGAGCGTAAAGGAGAGAGACGTTCTGCACCAGCTGGCTCTGCTTTCTGCTCCCCTCTGTCACCTCCAGAGGAACCTGGAGAGTGGGGCCCAGAGGCTGAAGAGTCCGATGACTCTGGAGCACCGCGGACAGAGCCATTGCTCTCCGGCTGGTCCCTGGAAGATTTGGGGTTAAAGGGAATTGGGATTGGAATGGGGATTGGGACTGGGAGGGGTACAATGACAGGGTAAGGGACCAAGAGAGTTGGTGGAGGTACCAATGGGGCCAAGGATGGCATGCCAAAGTTCATCATTGGGGGCAGGGGGATGGGTCCATTGGGCATCATGTTGACTGGGGGGAAAGGAGGGAGACCTGGCATGGGGATACCAGGGTGGGGGGGCATCATGCCGGGGTTGGGATTGGATGATGGGTGGACATGCGGAGACAGCATGGGCCTGTGCATGGGGCTTGATGCTGGACCAAGGGTCCTTGGGGGAGGTGGTGGACCAATACCAGGGATGATGGGGTTTGAAAGTGGGCTGTTGGGCCCTGCTGGGTGGGCAGAGGGGCGAAGAAACGGTGGACGGATCTGCTGCATCATTTGATGCTCCATGAACAGAGGCAGGGGCATAGGCCCCCTGGGTGTCATTACCATGGGGGGGCTACCAGAGGGAACACCGACTGGTGGGTGCAAAGTGGGAACAGGCGGAGGGGGAAGTGTGGGGCTCTCGTGGGGTCTGGGTGTGGAGATCTTGGCTGAGGAGGAGGAGGATGGGGAGCACACGGCAGCAGTGTCTGAGGGTGAGGTGGCAGAAGAAGTGGAAGGGGCCAAAGCAGAGGTGTTGGAGGGCCCCCCTGGTGAGGGAGCTTTACGACGTAGGTCCGTTAACGGTGTTCCCCAGGATTCAGGAGTGAGCAGCTGTACCCCTCCACTGCACTCCAGCTTACCCTCCCCACCAGGCCCATGTCCTGGGTTACACAGTGCTCCAGGCAGCGCGGCCTGGGTCTCCTTGTAGAAAATGTCCATCTTATATTGGTTCAGGCATTTGGCACTGCAGAACTGCAGCCTCCGCTCACCAGCACCAAAGTCCAGGTACTCCTTAGTGTGGCGAATATGTTTGCACCAGTCACACACCTACAACAAAAACACACACAATACACACAATGTATCAGCACCTGTCACCCTGCATACAAAAGACTTCTAATTTGCTCTTGATGGAATACAACACAATCTCCTTTGAAGTGTGGTAAAGCAGAAGCTCAGCCTCCATACCATCTGGAGATAGACACATTTAAAAAAAAAAATTCTCTTTAAGGAAACTGATGCTGTTTCTAAAGACTCTTACATTTCTATAAAGACACATGCCTGTATGTATTCCGTTTATGTAATGTATGGTGTGTGTTTGTGCATGCATCTACAGTGATGTGTTTCCTCTACTGAGTGGTAAAGGTGCACTGATGATGGCATTCTGCTGCTGAAGTGACTTTGTCTTCAACTTTCTGTCCGAACAGGGAATGAGCATTTACACCTTCTGTCGGCAACAGAGACACTCTCAGTCTCACGTAACCACAGATCCCTAGGAGACCAAAGCCTGGACAAAAAGATTATTTCCTCAGATATGTGGTAGTATGTGCCAACTAGTAGACAGACATTATAGATAGGTCACTTTAAATGCTACAGAGATCTAGTTTAATGTTTGTCCTGATCAATACTGAATTACATAGAAGCCTACTGCAGCAAGTTTTAGCTTTGAAGTATTTTGCACCTCAGGCCACACCCCAGATCAGTAATGGTCTGAGAAGGCATTTTAACTGTTGTAAAGACTTACTTTAACTCTTCAGAGGTTATTGTTGCAATAGCTTAATGCAGAACTTTTTGATTTTCACTTTTAAGCTCTGAAGTTTATAACAGAAACATACACAGTCATGTTTGCTAAAACAGAATATTGTTGCCATGTTGCTGTTTGTAATTTGGCTGAACATACATACAGGATGTGAATACCTTTGGTGGCCCCTGCAGTAGTGATTATCACTGAAAATGAAATTTTTTCTTTTAAGGATCTGTATCAGCACCTTTGGGACACTATATGTGTTGCTTTCTCAACACAAAATCTATTTAGGCATGTTGTGAAAGGACAACTATACTATACTATATTATGTGGACAACCACAATCTTTCAGGAATAGAGCTGCATTTAGGATGACCGTTCCACAATGTTACAACTATCTGAGAATTATGAATACATTCATTTTCACTGCTCACTTCTATTCTTCATGTTTACTGAAATCCAATCACAATAAATTGTCTTAAAGTTCTTTTTGGAACGGATCCAAATCAATCATTATTCTTTGTTTACTACTGTAGCTATTAATTTGAATGACAAGATCATTAGCAGATCAACTTTTAAGCATAGCATTGGAATTTGTTTAGTTTCAAACTAAATTTCTCCTGATGTGCTGTGCGTTAAGGCAGGTTCACTTCTGTATGCAGAGAGCAAACCAGACCTGGATGCCAACATGAGGAGGTTCAAATGAGAAGGTGTCTTTCTTACTCACTGCAGTGGCAAAGATCCCAAAACACCTTGCTGTACTGTTTCATCACTGTTACACACCTTTTCAGCACAAAAAGTGCAAATTTTTCTTTGGGAAGAAAATGAATGTGACCCTGGTAGAGCTGATAGCAGTGGGCGAGCCCTGAACACGGAGTTACTCGTCAGGCCACACACAGCTCACTCTGTCAGCTCTGGGAGGAGTGGCAGGTCCTCGCTGGAGATAATTAAGGCATTAATCAGTTGTCAGACCCCTCAACGACATCCATCCATCACACAGACCCTTAAGCCCCCCTGCTGAATGTTAATAAGTTGAAGGATGCAACCGGAAGGTGGATAAACTCCTCTTTGCACACTGCGTAACAACACTGGTGTGTTTGGCAGGATGCTGCCTGGCAGCAGCTGAAAGACTCACATGGGCTATTTGGGCAGATGTACTGTAGCACTGACCAGGATTTCCAAAGAATACATAGCATGCTGTCCTGCAGCTGCCGCACATGTAAAACATCAGGTTCTTTACATAGAATATGTGTTTTACATCAGTAATACAAGCAGAGCCATCTTTCAAAAGGACAACAGTTTTTAAAGATGAACTGTTGTTCTGCATTTGTGATAAATTCAGAGTCATTGTGCAGTGTCTCAGTCGGGATCAGGAAATTCTGAAACTAACAAATGAATAGAGCTTGGGTCAAGCACCTGGATAACATAAGAACCTGCAGCAGAAACAGATCAGACTTGACTGCTCAGCTTAAACACTACACCGGTGGTGCTCAGATGTTCAGTCCCTCGAATTCGACATGTTTTAACTGCCCATACAGTCCTAGCTAATTCAATGAGCCATGACTGAGTAAGAGTCAAAAAGGTGCTCTCGCAAGTTGAGTTTGATAATGGTAGGCCCCGGATATTTTAAATAATAAATGTACTGAAATTTTCCTCAACTCAGAAAGACAGATGGAGAGCACTTAACGACTTTCTGCACTGTGAGTGAAATTTCACTGCGCATTACGCTAATGGAGTTGTGCTTTCTCTCTCTCTCTCTCTCTCTCTCTCTCTCTCTCTCTCTCTCTTCCCACTCCTGCACACAGATGTTTGCAGTTGAATGTAATTATGGTCATTTATTTCCATCGTGGCCAACGAACCAGCATCGGTGGTGTAGTTTAACCGTTTGCATTACAACAATTATCGTGCTTCCAAACCAGTGCAATCACCTCAGCGGTCATTGTTTTTTCCCCCTCTCACCCTCTGACCCTGTGAACAAGCCTGTGAAATTTAAGAATCCCAAGATCAAGCACAAGCTAGTTTTAATGTGTGATTAGGTTAGATTAACAAGCTAAGTGAGGCGATTCTTGAAATAGTGATCGGAGGCCAGTCTCAGGGGTTAAGGGATTGGATGAAGAGTATTTTATTGCTGCAGTCACAGGAAAGAAAGAGGTTTCACAAGACTTTAGCCCCGTTTATACAGAGATCCTGCTATACTGCCGTTAGGAAGAGCCCTCATAAAACCGCCTTTGCTTGTTTACACTGAACAAAACAAAGCCGGCATGATCAGAGGCACAGCAGCGTCGGTGTCTGTCTCGCCATGCTGGCTCCCACACAGATGTTCATCCAGCTCTGTGACTATCTTAAAGGCAGAACAACAATGCACCACCCCCCACCCCCCATGCTGCATTCATACCTTTTATACAGAACGGTGAGGTGGAATAAAGGTGCAATATTACCCCCTTGGACAGGCTGCGTAAAGGGAACTATATAGGTTGTGGATCAACAGGTTGCAGAGCAGGAGGAGAAAGTTTCAGGCAGTGAAGAAGAGGAAGAGGTTGCAGATGTTAAAGAGATTGCAGAGGATGTGGAGGATTTAGATAATAAGGAGGAAGAAGTGGAGGAGGATGCATAGGGTTAAGAGGCTGGAGAGTGTGAGACAGTGAAAAGAATGTGAGGCTTCAGAAGAGGCTGCAGTGCCTGAAGTGGTTTTATATGTAGCATGAGGAGGTTTCTGAGAATGAAGCAGGAAAAGTGCATAAAGGGACACGATTCTATATCCCCCTGTTCAGGTCGATATGTGATTCTTTTGGCACTTCTGAGATTGCTGGCATAATCACGTAGGATCACGCAGGATAGGATCACAGATTAAGACCCATGAAAATGAACCAGGTGCTTGAAGCGAGCCAGTCGCTTGGTTTTTGATCAATCAGGTGGTCTCACACACCAAACTGTCGGCAGCAAACTATCCACTGCTGACAATTCAAGTCCATCAGTAATGTGAAGAGGCAAAGACAAACACTGCGCTTGTTGCACTGTGGATTCAGTCCAGAGTCTAGATTAGGTAGCAAGAGACTGCCATCTTAAAGCACCTGGTCCATTGGAAAAAGAAAACAGAGTAAAGCCCCACTAGAGTTTGCACAAGAAAATTAAACTTTGGCAATGCTTAACAGACCATCTGCAACATGTGGACTTATTACTATGATTAACCAAACTATCAGTTTACAGTGGCCTCGTGTATTGAAATATCTGTTGCAATGGTTATAATTAGCTGGATTACAAAAGGGGAAACATATAGAGTTCACATCCTTTCCAGTGTTTTATATTGGCCCCACTGTGTATCTGACTTATTCATTAAAAGCTGAATGGAGCATGAAAAGTTTAAACTGTAGATAAAAGCCAGAGAGGACGAGAGCTACACTCCCTATAAGGCTGCTCTTATCACAGCCAGCCATCACCATCAGTCATTATGGATGTGACATACAAAGGCCATTCTCACTTGGCCAGGTGAAACTCAATTGCACTATATTTCACAGCACACACTCACGCACACACAGTGAGTAAAATAACTCCCGCTGTAAGAATGATGAGACAGACCTGCTGGATTTTATTTGAATGTCACTGCAGCAGACTGGATCTCTCTGAGACCAAATATCTCTGTTGGCATGGGGCAGTGTGGTGCATCTTCACTTAAAGCCAAAGTCTGACATTTTGGGAATTTTGCTTTCTTGTTGAGAAACAAGACATGAGATCGATACCACTCTCATGTCTCAATGCAAAATATGAAGCTACAGGCTGCAGCTGATCTGCTCAGCATAAAGACTGGAAACAGATGACATAACAAAATCCGCCTACCAGCGGATGAACACCTCATATCTTATTTGTTTAATCCGAACAAAAATAAAAGTGCAAAAACGACAAGTTGTGGTTTTAGGGGGATTACGTGCTGGACTGTTTGGTTTTTGCATGGACTGAACAAACAAGGTGCTGGCAGGCAGACTTTGTGATGTTCAGACGGAGCCTGGGTAGCTGGTTCCTCTTGTTTTCTAACCAGCTGCTGGCTGTAGCTTCATATTTAGCGTTCAGGTATTTAAATGGTATTGAACTCTGTAACTTGCAGCAACAAGGCAAATAAGCACGATTCCCAAACTATGGTTTTAAAGGAAAATTTTTGTCTATTACTGCCTGGGTCCATTTTCCATCGTTCTGTACCCACCAAAGTGAGATCAGGAAACACAGCAATGTTACTAAAAGGAGGACCGAGACATGAGCAGTCAGACAATCAGACAAGTCGTAAACAACAACTATCTAAACCGCTTTATTTAGAGGTAAAACTGAATGTCTGTAATAAATGCTAATGTGCCCTCACTGCTAAAGTATGTCAGGACAAAGGTCCAGGAAGTCTGTCTGTAAGACAGTCAGACCTCAGCAGTTAACTTGAGTACAGTGTTATTATTAGACATACAGTATGTCATAAATGCCATAGAAATGATAGTTAAAACTACTGTACTTAAAATGTTAAAATGCTCATTAAATATCAAAAATAAATAAGCAAATCCACACATTATTAGTTTCATCATAAATGTGTTACCATTGCAATAATATCATACCCACTTTAATTCCGGATGAGTTTACATTTGTCTGATATTTCCCAACATAAGTCACTGAATATAATGCACAATGAAAATGAGCAAAGCAAATGATTCCACATGCAAAAAGTTATGAAAAGCTCAAACTTAAATGTATGAAAACTTTATGTAAAACAGGAGAGCCTCTTGTGTACTGTGTCTTATTGTTTGGGCTGAGTCTAATGTTTGATGTTTAATCTCTACTTTTACAGTAATGCCCAACTATGACCAGTCCAGTGGCATGTCAGGAAGAAATGACTAGAAAATTATAGACTTTTAACAAAGAACAACATCAAAACATATTTGTGCAGTAGCCATCAAGCTTAAACTCTATCTGGTGTTAAATGGTTATGGTCCTTACAAGCACATCGCTGTTTGTCTTGAAGACAAGCCTGGGCGTGTCCTGAGTAAAGCTGTTCTGGGGTAATTTCCCACCGAGGCCATCGTCGTCTCTCGCCTGGGGGGGGAGAAATAATGGCTTCTTTTTACGAATGGACAAAATAAACAGGTGAACAGAGGCAACAAGGAAACTCAGAAATGGAAAACAACATTGAGAAAGATGAACAGAAATGGTGACTGCAAAATGGGTGAACAATCATTGGTTTGTAGACAAACCAATCAACAGGAGTCTCTGAAACAAAACCGTGTGTGAGTTTGTGTGCATGCATGTGCATGAGTGAGGAGTCTGCAAGACATTTAGATCCGACATTCAAAGTGCTGCCCACTACCACAGCAGTGTGAGTTCATTCAAACACCAATTTCTTTAAGACAAAAATCTGAAATTAAACACATTTAAAATGAAAAACAACTTTAGTGTAAAATATGTGGAATACCCTGAAGACTATAAGATCTCTTTTATAAACAGTGGCGTCAATAGCCTGAGACCACTTTCCCATTGGGAAAAGTGACTTTCCCATTGGGGAGGTGGTCTCACACACCTCGTAGATATTTGCAGCAAGTTAGTAAGAGAGACATCCAGTAATTCTTCAGTCACACACAGGCCCTGCACACCCACATGAGTGTTTTCCCTACTCTTGTCTGCTCAGGTTGAACCTAGGTGGAGCTTTTCCTGAGAAATACATTTACATTACATTTCTGTTTTAAACTTCTCATTTTGGGAAAGAGGGTATTCATATTTACGCATGTGCTTTACAAACAAATTATGGTTTGTTTTTTTTCATTTAACTAAATTGACTGAATGATTGTAAACTTAATTTTTACAATCATGTTGGCAGCCATTTTGCCACTGGTTTGCTGACACCTCTGTGGTTCTTAGTTATCAGAAGTTGCGGATATCTTCCACTCGGAATAACAACTAAGAGGCTGAAGTCTCTCCCACTCAACTGTTATTTCTATTACGGTGTGAACAACAAGACTTGAATTGAGCGTAATTAGCATTAAAGTTGGAGGTTGTCCCACCCTAACAGGTGCGACAAAGCTAACCAAGCTAAGAGCACAGGAGATGTTAATCAAGTACAGTCTGTTCACACCCACACTGTTCTGAGTAAAAGTCTAATCAGTCAAATGAAAACACCTGTGTGGGTGAATCGTGAGTTGCCTCCATCAATTTAACTGATCACATGATACTGAGCCACAGTGATAGCTAAAGTTACCTCTGTGCCAGTCAAAGCTAAAGGAACATTTGCTTTGTTTGACAGCTTTTTGTCCTAGTTTTGAACAATACAACATGAGGTTAGCATCGTGTTTTAGTAGGAAACCTCAAACACTGCCAGAAAAAAATTGGCCAGACCCTTGCAGATTTAATAAAATAATTTCAAATGAGTATTTCATATCATATGGTTAAAGCCACTTGGAGGTTGCTAAGTAAAAAGCATTTAATTTTCAATATATAATATAACTGTTTGGCTTGGAGACGATTACAACATTGTGGTAAAAAATGAAATACTGTGGTTGACTGATAACATAACACTATGCTGCAGTTTTGGGGTGAACAAATAAATCCCTGCACTTTGTGACCCTTGCCAAAAATGGAAACATGAGGTAAACTAAGATAATGTGATTAATTCCCTCAAATGGTGGCTGTTGTAATATTACAATAAAGAAAGTCCTTTAATCATTTATACCGGCTGGAAAAGGAGCCACCTTCTCCTGCACTCTGTGAGTCATTCATTATGCACAGTGTGAAAACTGAGGCAGTCGGTGCTGTTGTGCCAGGTGTGGGCAATTTTGTTACAAAGAAGTTACTGGAGGAGCTTTGACTGGCATGACGCCAAATTGCTCCATTGTGTTTCAATAAATGAAATGCACCTTTATATAATATAGACCTCAGTGTGATATAATTAGTTCATATTTTACAGCCACAGGGCACTGAGCCACAGTTATCAGAAATGAAGATTTAACCTCAATTACACATGTTCATCATGCCGTTTGCAGCCCTCAAGCTGACATTTCATCCTGAGTTTGTGCCATTGACAGGTGAACCACTGGCCTGAGCATCTTTCTTTCATATCATGTTCCCTTTAAATTGCTCGCTGCAACCTTTGATTTGTTCTGGGTAATTTGGCCCCCAGCTCTGTTCATCTCTTGATGATACCAAAGGGCAATTCTGGCGTATATTTTACATTTTTTTTGTCCAAAGACCGATTGAGTTTGCCTCTGCCTCCATCTGCTTCCCTCACCTCCAGGTAAGGTTTCCCATTCCAAGCATGACATAAATCAAATATTGCTGTCTCGTGTCTTGTGAGGCGTGCTGTTATTTGTACCGGAAAAGGATACAGTGTAAGTATCTGACAGAAAACACTGTTAGGCATCAACATTTAAAATGTAACAAGGAGGATTTTTAACTTTGTCACAAAAGGTTGGAAAAAACACAATCAGAGATTAAGGGGTCATGCTTATTTAGAAGCTGTCCGTGCACTAAATGAACAGTGGGTGTAGGGTGACCCATTTCAGCTATTGTCTCTCTCCCTCTCACACACACAGACGCACACAAATGCACCACGAGCATGGACACATCACATGGACACACTCAAAGACAGGTAAACACACATGAATCCGGGCAGGCATCTGAAGACACACACATAAACACACACACACACACACACACACACACACACACACACACACACACACACACACACACACACACACAGGCACACACAGAAAGATGCACCACTGTGCTATTATTCTGTCTCCAGTTTGTGCTCTGACCCTCTGGCCCTGCGCCAGTTCATTTGCATATTGTACTAATGAGGTGTTGGCACTGTGAACGAGGCGTGAGGCGCACACAGGGAGCCACACACAGATAAAGGAGACGCGATTAAGACAGATAGATAGATAGATAGATAGATAGATAGATAGATAGATAGATAGATAGATAGATAGATAGATAGATAGATAGATAGATAGATAGATAGATAGATAGATTTCTTTTAGAATAAATGGTTATTAAGATATTATTATCATAATATTTAGATTAGAAATACAACCTCTCTTTCCAGTCTAAACTCAGATCATAAAATCAGAAGATTTCGTAAAATGTGCAAGTGTTGTGGTCAAAGTCATTCACCACTTTGCCTTAGCACACTGGGGAAATGCAGTTTCAGTGCCAGTTGTGTTGTTCTGTTTAAAGTAGTTTTTGTTTTTTATTGCTGCTCCATCATGCCAGCAAACTGCAGCTGCCACAAACTGCAGCTGAAATTCCTTACAAGAAAGACAGAGCAGGACATCGGCCGCCGAGCTCCCCTCTGGCGACTCAGCCGTCCTGAGGGGACGTCACACCAGCTGCCACCGTGTTAGCTTCCATCTGGGCACAGATACATGTCCAGGTGTGTGTGCCCATCACCTGCCAAAAGTGCTGCATTTCCCAAAGAAAGACGCACACGGGCAGGCTTTTCCAAATCCAAAGACAAACACAGCCGCGGTGGAGCTCAGTCCAAATCCTGATATGAAGGTGCAGTCCTGGTGCTACGCAGATGACATGTAAGAAAACACACTCCAAAAAAAAAAACCCCAAAAAAACAAAAAAAACGACAAGCTTGCCTCTACTTTCCATGTTTTGACAAGCCATCCCCATAACCAGATCAGTTCTGTTTGCACTGCACTGGGGAGATTTACACACATATGCACAGGGATAATTTTAGATAACTAAGGTCCTTTTGTGCACAAACAGAAACTAGGGATTTCAAGAGCTGGTTAGATTAGGGCTTCTTTAGGGAAAAGGTTCCCAAAAGTTTTTACTTAACACAATTCAGTTTCTATTTGTGACCCTTCGTCATAAATGGAAGTGATTTTTCCCATTGCCTTTTAATGATTTTACTAGTATTCTAAAAGGAAAAAAAAAAAGCACTATAGGCGTTTAAGAATCACTTGATTTGTTAAGACTGACAAGTCAGAACCGATGCTGCCATTTTCTTTTCATTTATTTTCTTAAATATTCTGCTGGTTTTCTTTACAGCAACATATGGATCTATATAGAGCTGCACAGAAGTGGCAAACTGCTGTGACAAACATCTCTGCATTTTGTTTTAATTGCAGAGGGAATGATGCAGGGCAATTTTCTTGTACTAAATGCCTCTTTTAAGGGTGTAGCAAATGTTATATTCGATATAAGTCACTCTGGAGTAACATCTCTTTTGCATACTGAGAACTGTGAACTGGTAAATTAGTCAAAGAGGTTGCAAAGAGTATTCCCTCGCTCAAGGTCATCTCACAATACACCTCAAATGTGCTAGACGAGGTGTGTCTGCAAGTACAAAAATCAAGTACAGTCTTAACTGCACTTTTTGTACGACTCGAAACCTACAAGTTTAAGAAATGACACAAAGGCATGCAAGTTCATATGCGTGGCTCCACTTTCACAATCTCAACGCCTAGTTAGTCTGAGTTACTTTTGTCTTTATTTGAGCTGAATGGCTGGCAGCTATGAGATAATCACCTTCCTCTCTGTGCCCTGAAGCTGTGTCAGGCAGGCCTCAAGGCTTCCTAACCACCAGTGAGCCTGAGCCGCAATATGCAGACACATTACACACTTCATCATGCACACAAAATTTCCACAAGCAGCTACATTCATACACATACAAGGTACAGCACACACACACACACACACACACACACACACACACACACACACGCTCAGACACCCACTTCTCTCTTATTCATTTTGTGTGCGTGTCCTCCTTGGCAGGCGATGGAGATGCAAAGTAAATTGCGGAGTGTTCAAGAGCAGGGAGGCAACCACGGGGCTGAGCAAACGTGTCTGTGTGTGTGTGTTTGAGGTGATGTGACATTTCTGGGCTGACATGAAGCGGCACTCTGCCCCCTCGCGCCTGGAGGGAGCTCCCGGGGAAAGACACTGATGGAGGTCTGGGGTCTCCGGGGGGAAATTTCATGGTGTGAACAAAAAGCCCTGCGCTGCAGCAGAAACGACCTGTAAAACACAAGCTGGAGTCTCCTCGCTATACCTGCTTCATGCTTTTGTGAATGTTGTCAAAGCATAATACATGGCTGATATACATGCAATTGTGTATAGTATAAATATATTTAAAAATCATTATAAACATAAAATGAATGTTATCATTATAGATTTTGGGTTATTTTCATTTTTGCATGAACAAATATCATGAACCCCTTATAGATGCCACATGATAAACCAAATGAACTTCTATTTATCAGGTTCTTGAACTAGTTCTCCTCCCAGCTGCTTTTCAGTCACAACAGTCTCAAACTCAACTCAGGCCAAACTGCAGAGAAAAGCAGATTGTTGAGGGTATTGCAACAGCAACAACCAAAATTTCATCACAACACAACTGATGTCGCAGCAATGCATTCGACTCCTGCATGCAGCAATTAAAATCCAACCATTACTGATATATAGACGGCATGTTTTCTGTGTGGAATCTAAAGTCTGACTGACTAAATAAAAAAGTAAAGTATCCTCTAACATGCACCTCTTCACTGCTCACAGAGGTTAATTCATCACTTCTAATTGCCTAACTTAATCTTGGCACTGTGTCCGATGAGCAAGCATGTTTATCGGTGTATGTGCGGGTGTATAATAGAGGGAGAAACCGTACGGGTGCATGTAAAAGTGCGACAGTTGGACAACTTCAGCTGAAAGCAAAGCTCCACCCTTAATTTAAATTCCATGCCTTTCATCCCCAGAACTGTCCAAGCTGTTCTACATGTAGATTCACATTAAACTTTCCCCTTAGTCGGTGTCTTTCCACACACACACACACACACACACACACACACACACACACACACACACACACACACACACACACCATGCAAACCAAACAGGAGAAAGAGCCAAGTTGTGTCTCTGAATAAATAGTGGACAGTCAAAAGGAGAATGACAGTGAGCAGGCAGAGTGAAGTGACAGAGTAATTGAGTAGTGCGAGTGGCCGGGAAGCAGCACCTTCCATAAAAACTAATCCAACATCTTAAGGCATACAGTAAACAGGCAAATAAGTGATTAGCCTGAGTTAAACTATCAATCATCTCTCGCCACACACAAACACACACTACATAATGTGGAGTTATGCAGAGATGTGAGAAAGTAGCAGCCATAGTCACCCTAGGAGGGGATTGGGTTTCATGGATGAGGCAGCTGAAGATATTTCATGCAACATAATGCCAGAGCCGTTGCCCGCCCCCTGTAACCCCCACCCCCCTCCTCTTACCCCATGTCTCCTCTCCCCAACCCAAAGCACACGCAGACATGAGATACTTTTTTTTTCAGCCATGACAATATTTTTTTTCTGCTGTTAGAAAAAAAAAAGAAAGCCTGCAGGCCGTGTTGTTGTGGCCAACCTTGTGGGTGCATGAGAAAAGAAACGTGGGTATCGCTTACACAAATGGCCTGCATGCATGTACGAGAACCAGACAAAATACAGAATCTGAGCCGCTGTGGCAGAACAGGCCTTTCCTGTGTTTGTGATGTTTGAATATGTGCATTCTGCTGATGGATGAGGGAAACAGCCAACATGGCTGCACAGGAATGTGTGTATGTAAAAGATCTTATTTCTATAAACTGTGTGTGATGTCCTATAAATTGGTGACATTGCTTGACCGTATTTGTACATTTCTGTTCTGCTGATGCATAGATCCAGTTACAGTGATTTATTTTTATAGCTCAAATCTTAAAACTGCCACATGACACATTTATCATTTATTAATATCAATAAATGATGTCAACATCAATGTTAAGCTGTTATTATAATTGGAATAAACAAAAAAGATCATCTGCCACTTTGGCCAATTTTGGTAGTTGCACTTACTAACTATAGCATGTCAACAGAACTGAATAGCCATAGTTTAGCTCTATGCTCACAAAAAAATCACAAACTGAATAATAGATTTAAAAGTGTAGAGATAATGTTAGCTTCTTAGCTGGAACATAAAATCATATTAACAAAAGATTTGCTAAAGTTTAATTGCCCATTGGTAGAATAATGATAGTAGTAGTAGAAGCTAAGATTTGCATTATACCCAAAAAAGCTAATAAACTAGCAAGTTGCTATTGAGCTAGTAAGTGACTATACTTGTCTTTTAGTACTATTAAAAGTGACTGGTTTTCTAAGGGCTCCTGCAGGATAATAATGTAAAACTGCCAAAACCTTGTTCTTGAATTTAAGCGAGATGATGTTAGGTGACCTAAATTTGAAAATCATGTGGCCTCACCTTTAAATCTTCCGACTGTCTCATGCAATTATGTGTGTAATGTCTCAAAAAAAACAGCTGAGACTAACCCTCTCCACAAAAACAGGAAATTAAGAATGTTTGATGAGAAATAGGAACTGACACTAAATTAGCACAGTGAAAATAAAGTGTGCTGGTGCCAGGTTGAAGGTCAGAGGGGGTTCAAATATAAGGTCCTGGGTTCAATACCCAGTTCATGCAAACAATTTATTGCTTTACATCTCAGAATCATGGAAGCCTAATTCTGCCATTTGAAAAAGAATATCCACTATCTAGTTTTATTTCATTTCATATATATATATAAGTATTACGTATTATTTCTAACATTATTCTGTTACTTAGTATTTAAGAGATCACAAACCACACATAATTAGGAAAATAAACAATCCATAATCATTAAAAAAAAATCTTAAATTGGCAGAAATGGGCTTCCATACCAAATCCTTAGTGCTTAATTTTGAAGAGTCTAAGAATATTCCTGATCTTATACATTTGCAGCAATAATGATCACAATAAGTATCACATTCAGTTATGATGTATTGACATATATTTTAACAGTAACAGGGAACTGTCCTCCTGTGTAACTAAATGAAATGTGTTCCTTAAGCAACAGCTACAAGAGAGGTTTTTTTGGAAGTGGCTAACATGCTTTGTTAGGCAAAACACGAGATACTTAATTAAATATTATTGCATCAAGCAATTGAATTCTTGAACAAAGTGGCTTTGAAGTAGCAAGCAGATTGCTATTTTGCAGTTGTTGCATTACTGAATCATATTTAATTAAACAATAAAAAAATGTGTGTTATTACATTTTATTTAAATTTTTACTAAGGTCATATTGTAGCACCAGAAAAAAGAGTTTTCACTGAGTTTTCAGAGCTCATAAGATTGTCCCTGACTGATATGATCTCCCCTTTCACTTTAAAATTCAGCCTTTTCCACAACTACAACTTGTATGAGAAGCTGCCACTGCGGTGAGAGGACATGCTTTGAAACTTCTGTCAAAACTGTGGGGCTGATTAATGGAGAGAGCATAGAGAATTGGAAAGGGGACTCACGTATTTTAGTATTTTTCCACACACTTTTGTCACCACACCTCTGTCTACCTTAAATGCTATCAAAATATATTCTAGCTCCACTCTCCGTAAAAATGTAATTCATAGGTTCAGAACATAATGCAGAGCTAATGAGACTTAAAAAAAGATGCACTAAACAAACTACAAATGTACTATAAAGGATGTTCAGGAGATTGTTATATGCTACAAATCAAGGTATGAGTGAGGTAAATACATAAATCATATAACTGTTGTATGAGCTGCTTTTTATTTCTGTTTAATTGTAGATGAGCCCCACAGATTCATAGCGGGGAGCTTTGTTCACATCAGCTTTACATTAGATGTCATGTTTGCAGCCTCCCTCACTGATCTTTGAGCGATATGGAGCTGCCCTGTCAACTTTGTTGCATGTCAAATGGCACAGACCTGCATCTGCTTTTTTTCTGACCTCCTTTGGAGCTCAGAGATCAAAATAAAACTAGTTCAAAAGCTGCGTTTTGATCTGATATGAAGCTCTATAGCTCTTCCAAGTGTCACACAGTCTCCCACAAGGTTTTAATGTGTCAGGCTCTCCTTGTCATCACCGGGACCAGACAGATTATCATTTCAACATTTAGTACAATGAAAACTACAAACTTGCTATTAAAAGTAAATGAGCTAAAATGTTAAAGTAGAAAATGAAAAACATATACTATGAGCAACAGTACAGTAGACACAGGTTCAGCTTGCTTCTCATGCTTTCAGGAAAAAAGTGTCAGAAAATAAAAAGGAATTGGATATCACTAATTGAAATGAACAGACATACTCTATGTGCACCCCCCCTCTGGCTCCTGCTCCAGTGCAGTGCTTGAAAAGTGATTATGTTTGGATGAATAACTGACTTCAGGACAGACAAGCAGGAGAGTAAAACACGTCATACTCACAGCGTAATTCCTTATATATCCCAGCTTTGGTACAAGAGAGAAAGGAGATTGTTTAACTACAATCATCGGGGGGAAAACGAGAACACAATAACAACTTTGATATTTGCTGTTTTGCCTCTAATGCATCACCATGACATTTTGGAGTAGATCGCCTGAAGGTGTTTTTATTGTAAAATCCATGATTTATTCTAAATTCTTTCTGGTTAGATGTATTATGTATTATGCTTTTTTTGCCAAACCTGAAAAAGTAATGAGAGGGTTTTTAAGTTGACACTTTTAAACAAAATTTTTAGTTAAAATTACCCTTTGATGTCTTGAGTCAGAATTTAGGGTGATAATTGTTGAAGCTACAAAAGATAAAGCTCCTCCTCACAGTATAAAGACTATTAAAAAGTCATGAAAACGTCATTTAGCTCTGTCAGAAGCACAATATAGTGCCTGTTGATAAAGAGGCTGCCAGATGATGTAATAGTTTCTGGCTGCCATATTGCAGGCTTTCTACTCTCGGCAATAAAACAGATACAGTAATTGCACTTCTGAACTGTGTTATCTCAAGAGAACATACTTCATTTTGCTTGTGCTCTGACTATATGCAACAAATGAATACTGTAAACTAAAATGACTAATATTGCAGATGAAAGATAAGCATCTTAGCTAGTATCAAGGTTAGCTAACGGTCTGTCTTACAATCCTGTTTGCCCATTACTAAAGATAAGTATTAGCAAAGGTTTGAATAGGTAGCTAGTAGTGTATGCTAACATTAAGTGGTCTGCTTGTTCAAAAATGCAAAAACAGCTTTTTTAAATTACCTAAGATGACCATGTATTATTTCTGATTATTGCAGTGCTGAAGAGTATCAGCTAAATTTTGAAATGATGTCACTTTAATAGACCTTTATTAGCCTACACTGAAGAAATTTTGTTAACAGGGTCAAAATGTATGTAGGCCTAATGTTTCCCCTTCAGAAGAAGATGACAGTAAATGAAGACGTAGTTCTGTCATAGATCTGACAATAAAATAGCAAAGTGAGTAAGTGAAAAGAAAGAATTGTCACAGTGGCTTTCAAATCTAAGAGCCTATAGATTCAATCCCCAAATCATGACAGTAACTTATATACCATATGTAAAGTTCTCATGTTCAGTGACGGCATTTACGAAGTGTACCAATAGCCAGCTAAACTGTTTTAGCTGCCTGAACTTCAGACAACTGCTAACCAAGTTAGCTAACTTGTTTTAGCTAGCTAACCTTGACACTATCTTTCACCAAAGTTGTTTATTTGCCTAAACTTTAAAAAATTGTTTTAAATTTTAGGAAATATGCTCATCAGGAAAAAGTTACATTATATAACCCCATTCACTGTCATTTTTACATTTTTGTTTGTGTTGTGAAAAATTGGAGGCAAAGTTATAGCTATAGAGCTAAAGGCTAGCTGTTTCCCCTCTCCACTCTTAATGCTATGCTAATCCCGACACATGCTGCCTTGTTAACATACATACATGAAAATGGTATAAATTTTTTTATCTAACCCATAGAAATAAAAAAAACAATGTTGAATTATTCCTTGAAATGACAATAGCATCATGTCCAATCCATGCAATTTGCAACAATCATTCACCACATACTAAATTACATCTGTATATCATGAGATATAAACTCATTTGATGCTTGTTTTATGAATTTTAGGAACCATGGTGTCAGTTTTATAGTCTCTTCATGTGGTTGAAGAGAGGATATGTGACAGAGTGCAACTGCAAAGTCTCTAAAAGGTGTTATATCACAGTGTCCAGCTGAGAAGGAATTTTACCTTGTTTCTCTTAAAATAGGCTCTGCGGCAGGCGGCGAAGCACTTCTCACTGCAGAAGCTCTTCAGCTCACTCCCCATGCTCAGAGAATAGCGTTTCACACCGACCTTCTGGCACCAGGCACACATTATCTGCACATTGGATGCATCCTCGTCTAGAGATAAACAAGCAATAAGGAAAACGACTTAGGATGGAGCTCAGGTTAAGTATGTAATATAGTGGGGACACATTCTTTCTTAAATTATCTCTTTTTAAATGTTTATCCTGGACATTCAGGCCAAAAGGATCATTTAAAATATCTTTTACCTTGGACTTTATTTTTCACAATTTTATATAGGCCTAAATACCTTTTTACAAAATATTATTAGCTTCACTACAGTTTCATATAATCTTTAACAGCAGGGAATGACTGGAACTGTTATCCAAGACTCATAATTTCTTCTGTGTCTTGTACTTTGTGATCAAAGTGACTCTGATTCAAACTAGAAAATATGCTTAAGCGAGGATAAGTTACATCTATTATATTTTAAGTGTGAGTCCATGGTGGAGAATATCAACGAGAATGCAACAGCCAGATGTATTAAGCTCATGGACCAAAATGCATTAACTCCACTGATTCAACACAGCTGCTGGGCTGGCTAAATCCGCTCAAGATTCAAGCCACAAACCACTGTAGGATTTATAATGAAGCCCTGCCATGGGTAAATGTAGTAGAACTGATGGAGCCAGGAACAAGGGAGGATGCCTATTTGTGGCTGTGCTCTGTGGGTATCAGAAGTGGACAAAAGGATGCACTCCTATGATGCTAGATGTGATGGGTGTTCACACAGAGGGCTCTGACAGAAGGTGTGGTCTGAAGGTGTGATGCTAATGTGCATCCTGTGTTCAGGTCACACGCTGCAAAAGGGTCACACAGAATCTGAAATAATTCTAATAAACATAGTTTGTTAGGCAACAAAAAGGTTGGATGGAGGATGTTTTTGTTTCACAGAATAAATACATTTGACTAAAAACAGCTGAGAAAATTACAAGAAGGTGTCTGTAAGACAATTTAGACAACTTTTCCCTGAGTTACACAACTCTGATTTGAACTGTCCTGCTGCGAAGAAAATTCCACCCATCGATCCACACTCCACACACTACATGTGAACCTGCAGTTATTCATTTATTTGTGGCCCTTCCCTTTCTTGTTTCCAAATTATTTACAATGAGGGCATATTAAGGGCAGAAAGAAGGAAAGAAAAAAAACAAATCTAACAAAAATTTACTGGACATACAGTGGAGTTCACATAAATATAGACACTGAGTCCTTGTCACATTGCGAAGGTTAGGGCTATGGGATGTTAATGATAGTATGATGATTGTAGACAGTTACTGTGTTAATTGGTCAAGTATAGACTATTAGAGATAATACTTAATAATAAATGGTGACAGTTAAGAAATTCCAAAATAAAAGTATTACATTTAAAATCACATACAGTCTGGGGATGGTGATGTTTATCACATAGTGGTCTCAGACTTTTGGACACCACTGTATATAAGAAGTAATATAAAAGAAAAGTGTAAAAGAAAATATAGAAGTAGAATAGACAAATAAATATTGTCAATAGTAGTTATTACAGTATTGTTGGTCTTTATGTGTTTAGATTATCTACTATTTTTTTCTCAGTTAATGCTGCTTTGTCAAAATTTGGACTTTAATTGGAAACAACTTTTCAACTTTCCTCCTAGTGTTTCCAACTTACTGTTGGCACTACTGTCGCAAAGACCGGATGACAATATGGCTACCGCTATCAGTCTAGCTACTGTCCAAATCAAGGAAAAACCTTTTGAAAGGTAGAGAAAATACCCGGTTGTATTAATAAGTAGGGTCTAAGTTCTTAGTCACTGATCTAGTGGAAATAATGCCAACTGAACGTTGGTGTTGAACCCTCTGAAATCCCAGAGCTTTCTCCATAGTCCGACTGGCCATCAGGACTACCAAGACAAATCCTGGTGGGCCGCCACATCAGTGTGCCATAAACTTTTTACCAGCCCTGACAACCCAGTGGCAGACAGAATGGCAATGTGACAGCGAGGCTTATAGGGAACTAATCTAAATGCAGATGATAGCCATTACATTGTGCAATCAATTTTCTTCATAAAGTTTAAGCAAAAAACTTGTCTATTGCCACTTTAAGTTCTCCTTACAAAGACTAAGAGAAGGTATTTTAAAAAATAATGATGGATCTCTTCTGTCTTAAGGTTTATAGTTACCCTACCAATTGTCTAAGAAAATCTACACTTGATCTCAGCACACCCCTACTTTAACTGGAATTCATTTTATTAGAAAAAATTGTTTTTGGGAACCACAAAATGTAATGCACTGAAATCTACAATAATGGTTTCAGAACCTGTTTGTCACTTGAACCTTTGATTTAGAGGTATGTAGCTGCGTTGCTGCAGTGTGGTCAGTGTGGGCTACAAATTATTTTAACAGACCCTCTGTGACAGTGAAATGCCTCTTCTGTGGTAAACTGTGACTGCTGGTGATGAACTGCGGGCTTTTAGTGCCATCGCTGTTGCATTGAGAGGGATCCACCGAGATTCCCTCCAATAGCTCCCAATTATCACATTATGACTATGCGGGTGTGAGGGTGAAAAAACGCGGGCCCATTAGTCTTTCACCCCCGCTCATCTCCTTATCGCATTCTGGCCGGACTTTTCACCTCTTGGTGAGCTTAATGGATCTACAGGGCCATCAGATTTTAAGTAAAGACTAACTCACAATTAAGGGAACAACTCCCTGGGGCCCTAAAGACAGCACAGTGGACCCAACATGCATATTTTATGTCTTTCTGCTCTCTATCTCAGTCCTATAGTCTCTCTACCTTTTTGTGCCTGTGTAGATTGCTGCCCACGGCAGTTATAACAGAAAAAGAGAGAAATAGTTTCATTCTAAGCTGACTGAGTAGGTGGATCAGGGTTTGTACATTGCTTGGAATAATGTATGTACCACAGCGTAATGAACAGGATCGAAGCCCAACATGAAATCACAACATCTTTCACAATATCTCAACATTTTCATACAAAGAGACATCTTGAGGTGGAGTTGTTTTCGCCTTCCCACATCCTGGCACCTCGTAACAAGCCCATTTCAAAACACACACATCTGTATGAGGGGCAAAAAAAAAAACACGCCGGTAATTATGCAGCCACCATACTAAATGCCACCATCATGCGCCGTACCTGCACCTCAAAAGGTCCTTTGTCGGACTTCGCGTGGCACATGAATAATTCAGCGTATGTGTGGTGGTAGGGGGGTGGGTGGCGAGTTAAAGGGGGTGTTGGCCGGGTGGTGGGTTGGTGCTGGGCTTTAAGTGGGAACACACCATCTGTTTCCCCGCCTAGGCAGGGCCAGCGGGGACTCCTCTTGGGCGATGCCAAGGCGGCCTGCTCCCTCCGCCGGGGCGTACCAGCCTCCTGTGCCACAGCAGACGCAAGGGATAATGAAGCCTCTGTCTGGCCGAGGAATGCGGACATTTCCTCAGAGAGTTGATGGGGTAATATTGACACTTGGGCAGGTGGAGGAAAACAAGGTGTACAGCAGGTAGCTAGCTCATTAGTCACCTGTCCCTGGCTGATATGGAGTCTTTCAGGCTATTGCAAAAGCAGAAAGTTTTCACGCTGCATAAATATTCAGTTTTCATGCTAAGTGCTGGAGAATTAGCAAGTAGGTTTATACTTTCAGTGCAGTCTGTCTGGAGAACAGCTGTGGATGAAATCCATGACATTTCTTCTGGTTGGGTGTTTAAACGGACTGTGTGTTTGTGGTTGGGTATTTGGGTGAATACATCAGCAATCAGTGATGGGCTGAAAATGACCTTGATCTTTTTGGAAATTTAAAATGTAGCTTTGTTCAAAACACATAAAACAGTTGAAACTTTATGAAGCGGCAGTGAAGGTGGTCTGGTTAGGTCATTTGAGTATATTTTAATTCTGTTTTTGCTGGATGTTATCACGTTTAACTGTTCTCTTGACAAACTAGTACTTGTATTAGCCTAAACTTTTTAATTTTTCATTTAATGTGTCTCTCTAAAACGGTGTGAGTGCTCCCTACCTGCAGGGGGCTTGATCAGTGGCGGAGGGATCATGGGGACTATGATGGGCAGGTTGCCATGTTCCTTGGTACTGGGCGTGGAGGTGGACGGTGTGGTGGAGGGCTCTGTGACTCCATTCCTGGAGGCTGGCATAGACTGCGAGCTGTTGGCTCGATCCGGAGAGCCTTCGCTACTCTCTGTTGAAGCTGGGATTTTTGGCAACAAGTTTTCTAGACAGGAGAAATTGAACAAAATAAAGCATTACTGAACAACTGATGAGATGCTGCGGCACTCACTGCTTTTCTCCTGTCATAATGTAGGAGCCTGGGATGCTTAAAATTTGACTCAGTGGGTCATATTTCACACCAGAGGAAGAGACTGTTTTTAAAGGTTGGCTTGGACAAATTTATGTTTAAAACCCATGAAAACAAATCCTCCTCTATCCTCTATGATATTGAATATTAACTAAATAACATTAAAGCTGCACTAATCAATAATTTTATGTTAATAATGGGCCAAATGACTACATGTAATGTAAAAGATTAGCCCATATTGACAAACCCACAAAGAATCAGCAACTGACTCTAAAGTTCCCTTCAGCTCTGCAGAACATTTTAGCCTCTTTAAACATTTTTTTTGGTTTTATGGCTGCAACTTTTATTCGGTCTCACTTTCTTTTGACAGCATTGCTCTGGCTGCAGCAGGCAGCTGTTTTCAGAGAAAAGGCTCTAATAAACTCACTGTATACTACCTGTCCAGCAGACAAACAAAGTTAGCCACTAGCTGGTGAACATGGAGTTTTTAGCAGCTACAGACCCAGATATTTCCCTTAGGGGTGGAGAGCAGTACAGAGCTAAAAGCAGAGTGGAGATTTGGCTTAGATTGATCAGGTGGACACAAACATGCTAAAATATAAATAACACAAATAAGCAAATATTTGCTAACAAGCTCACCATATCAACTCTAAAAGGTGATAATATGTCAATGTTTTCTTCACTTCTTTTCTTCTGTTTTAACTTTGGGATTAAATAGTGCTCTCATGTTGGACCCCATCATTTATAATAAGAAGCTGTTTCTGGGCCCTTAAAACAATCACAAAGAGGTGTCACAGTCATGTGTCACCATCACAACATGCATTAGCCATGTGTCATGATCCATTCATGAGCACTTTATATTTGCATTAGTTTCATTATCGCTTTACGTATGTAGCACATGATCACCTGTTGTATAAAGAGGCATTACATTCAGCCATAAAATACTGTACATGCACTCAATTTACTGTATGGTGCTTTAAATAAAAAAGAAACAACACCAACATGGCATACTGTATGCTGGAGTTTCATACCTTTGAGGACGGAGATGTGCTGTGGCGTCTCCCCTATCTCCAGGTTGTCAGAGTCTCTGAGCTCCACCTTGTCATAGCCGTACCAGCCCAGCAGCTCGTTCATGGTGTTCTCTGCAAAACTCTGTAAGACAAACAGAGGACTGGTGAGACTCACAACAGAGGTCTTCTTACAGGAATCACTCAGACTAAAAAACAACATGCTTTGATGTAGACAATATTATACTTGAGCTGTAAATATCTTGCAATACAATCTGCTATAGTGTTGATCAGTAGTGATGTAGTAAATAAATGGTAGCAAATTAAAAGTGAGTAACCTTTAAAAAATTTTTATATTTTCACATGAAATATAAATGTAACCCAAGGATGAAGTAAATGGGATGTGAGGTCACTTGTTATGAAAGCAAATGCAACATTTGTTATTTTGCTGCATTTGTTGTGTTTCTCTAGAGACCTTGACTTCACACACCACATTTCTTCAACTAATTAGGCAGAGATATTGCGAGCTCCCTCAAAATGTAAAGATTTGCTAAGAAAACCACATGTAGGTTTTAACTCCAGGTCTTCTTCATAAGTACAGGTCACCCTAATTGGGGCTAACTCCTGTCCAAACACTGCAGTGCCATCCAGCCTAACTAATGGCCCCTGTCATTTCACAATAAAAGAGGAGGATTGTATCACAGAGAATGGGAAACTATCACAGCACACTCACTAGAATAGAAAAGGTATCACAATACAGGACAAAAAAAAAAACACTGCATAGTAAAGGCAGAGTTTTGATGTTGTTACTGACATGTTTAAGTTTGCTTATTTCTTAAGCCTCCCTGATTGGTTGGAAATGTTGCCACTGTAAATGGCTCAGGGTTTAAACAGACCGAGGGGACCATTGATTCATTCACTCATTTCATCTGAAGGTGAGGGACCCAACCACATGCCAGAGATTATACATATTTCTTTGTCAAGGCTGAGATTTTATTCATTTATAATGATTTATTTGTTTTATAGTATTATGGTATAGTTTGTTCTGAGTGGGCCTTAACCCCTAAGCCATTTTGTTTCCCTTTACGCATTTGTAGGGTTTAGGTTGTTAACATCCTAACCACACTGACTATCTTTTTAAACTGAGCGAAGAATTCAAACCCAAGAGTTCGTATTTCATATACTATTTACCTAAATGGAAATATTCTCAATGTACATTATTTTATACACACATTCATTACATTCAGCCCAACATGTTTGATGTCTTTGGAAACTTTGGGACCTCTGCTGGAATTTAAAATAAATGTATGTGGATTTGAACAATGTTTAGCTGCACAGCATGATTGACCACAGTTGGGCCACTGACTGTTACAGAAAGAGTTTTGGGAAATATGCTTGTCTATGTTTTGCCAAGAGGTAGATGAGAAGTTCAACACTACTGTTAAATCTGTTTATTCAAGGGTCCTGGAGGTGGTTAGCCTAGCTTAGCACATAGATGAAACCTAGCCTGGCTATGTTCAGAGGTGACAAATCTGCCTACCAGCACCTCAAAAGCTCACTAATGAACTTGCCAAGAGCTTTAGCCATTGTTGTATTTACAGTACAAGAGGTTAAGAGACGCCCTCTGAGAAGCGCTACTTCTTCAGGGCAGACTGGGCGCTACAGTGGCTCATCAACCGCGCCAGGGCTAGCTGGTTAGCATGCTAACTTTAGTAGAAGAAAGGAAGTGATAGAAATAGAAGCAAACAAGAGGGTTGCTTTAAACAGCGGGAGAGAGCTCTTAGTGAGGGAAGGAATGAAGTTTGATACTGAACTCGCAACGTTTCTTTTAGACTGGTAATTAACAGCTGGTAATACTAACGTTAGCTATGTAGCAATAGCAAAACAGCTCCTTTAATCTGAACAAGAGCATATACAAAACAACAAGCTTTGGTTTTATGAAGGGTTGTGTTTCTTGGCTGAACGCAGTAAGGTCCTTCATTGTTTTTGTAAAGATTAAAAAAATATACCATGTTAATTAGTGAGCTTTATAGATGGCTGTAGTTAATTTACAATCATTTTGCTAAAATAAACGCCTATAAAATAGAATAAATCGCCTGCTGGATTTAGCTTCATATTTAGTGTAGGCTAAAATACAAGAGTGAAACAATCACAACAGAGTAGAAACATTAATAACTCACTGAGCAATAAATAATAATTAACAGTTAAGAAAATATCATAATCCAGTAAACAGTATAGCCTATGTCATGTCCTTCCACCCACTTTGCTTTGAGCAAGAAAGCAAAGCAGCACAGCAACACAGATTAATGTACGTATGCAAAAAGGAATAAAACTTTATGCAGGTGAAACATTAAAGTATTTCCTCCATAACAGCCTCTCACAACACAGTCAATAAACACTGTACTCACAACAAAACCATAACCCTTCTAATGCATACAGCCCATTATCATCGTACTCGGCTCAGCTGGAACATTCCCAGAGGCATTTATTCACTGAACCCTAAACTATGGTAAATGTTTCAGCTATCATTTGACTGTAACACAGAGATGAAAATGTTTTTCGTGAAACAAGCCACAGTAACCGGGGATGAATCAGCTGTAATTATTTGGTCTGTGTGATAAAGTATTAGTCACAGGTCGCTAAACTGTCAGCTTAGAGGAAAAACTGGTCCTTGGTACTTTGAGATGAATTTTTCTAAATGGATGGATGATCATTTTCTATTTTTCAAGTTATTCTTATAATGATAAACACTTGAAGATTAAATATAGCTTTAGGTATGGGACGTGCCTGTCAATTCGCATACAGAAACAGCTCGTACAATCATATTACAAGTTTGCAAGGACCGTGTGCGTTGCCACCGAGATGACCCAGCTTTTCTTATCGCTGGTGGGTTTGTTCCAGATCAAATTGACAAGACATGTGTCAGTTCATTATTTTATAGCCAGTCCCACTATACCCTGTACATTATCTCATCATGGCAGCAGCCGTCACCCATCAGTCACTACATCAAGCAGTTAAACGTCAATTACAAACAGCTCCTGTCGATATGTTGGAGCCAGAGTGATCATGTTGGAGTGGTTTAGTGCCACCCAGCACATCTGACTCTTAGCTGATGTAAGTTTAACAGCAAAATATAGACACACACACACACACACACACACACACACACACACACACACACACACACACACACACTGTATATAGACATACATCACTGCATTTTCCATTGCATTCTGAATGAAAAGGTGCAAAAAGCAAATTCAGATTGTGGCCTAACCTGAACAATGTCATCTCTTCTCCCAAACACTACATTTAAACTATTGCCAGTGCTTCATTCAGTAATTGTGTCTGATGATGTGGCATCAGCACATTGCACACAAGGTTCATGTCTATTAACCAGGCTGGTCTATGATGTTTCATACCAAGAGAATGAGACAGAAAACAAGTTCTAACTCGCGTGAGTCCAGCTTTCTCTGAGGACTGTTCATTCACCGCTGGAGGCAGGTCTGAAGTATTGATTCATGATTTCCTGTGGGTGGAAAAGAAGCCGTATCTGAAACCAGGATTTAATTTGGGCAAGTGAATCTTCAAGGTGTGTTGTCACAAATAAAATGTCCTATGTTGCTCTAAAAAAGGAAAGAATGAAATGGCCTGAATGGCTCATCACACACGCTGACACAGCATGACCTGGAGCACAGAGCCTGTCTGTGTCCACAGCCTGCAGACAACAGGTTAGTCCACTGACTCAATTACTTGATACAAATCCAATTACCACAGCACCAACACAAAGTGCAGTTTGGATATTGCTTACAGTGGTATTATAGTAAGGGAGTTACAAGTGGGAATGAGCACGCGCACACACACACACACACACACACACACACACA